CCCCACTCATGCACACTGCATGCCTTCTCTCAAATAAATAAAACAAAATAAAGAAAATACAGTGTTGGGACACCAGGCTGGCTCAATTAGCAGAACATGTGACACTTGATCTTAGGGTCATGAATTTGAGTCCCACAATAGGCATAGAGATTACTTAAGAAAAATAAAATAGGGATCCCTGGGTGGCGCAGCGGTTTGGCGCCTGCCTTTGGCCCAGGGCGCGATCCTGGAGACCCGGGATCGAATCCCACATCGGGCTCCCGGTGCATGGAGCCTGCTTCTCCCTCTGCCTGTGTCTCTGCCTCTCTCTCTCTCTCTCTGTGACTATCATAAATAAATTTAAAAAAAGAAAAATAAAATATAGGGTGCCTGGGTGGATCAGTCAGTTAAGAACCTGCCTTTGGCTCCAGTCATGATACTGGGTTCTGAGATCAAGCCCCATGTTTAGTGGGGAGGGGGAGGGGGGTCCCTGATCAGCAGGGAGTCTGCTGCCACCTCTTCCCCTGTTCATGCTCACTCACTCTCTCTCTCAAACAAAATCTTTAAAAAATATATGTTGAACAAAAGCAGGCCGCACAAAAAAATACATGTTGTAATTTAGTGAGTTGAATGATGTCTCCCCAAAATTGCTCTCTCCCTGGAACCTTGGAATGTGTCCTGATTTGGAAGTAGGGTCTTGCAAATGTAATTGGTTAAACTTCTCCAGATGAAATCGTTCTGGATGAGGGTGGGCTCTAATCATTAGTATCTTTATAAGAGAAAGGAAAGGGAGATGTGGACACACAGAGAAGCAGAGATAAGCAGATACTCTGTAGAGCCTTTGGAGGGAACATGGCTCTGCCAACTCCTTGATTTTGGACTTGTGGCCTCCAGCAGGGTGAGAGAATATGTTTTCCCTTGTAGAGAGCAAAATGGAGCCTCTTGTGTCAAGCAGAGGCCTGTGTCAAGCGATCACAGAAGCAGGTAAGGTACTGCCATTAGGACATATCGCGGGGACCAATGTCAGGTGACACCCCAGAACCGGTAATGAGCAGAACCAGAGCAGGGACCCAAAATCGATTAAATCCCTTTAAAAAGGGAAGGATTTGGGCAGCAAAATGTCAGACTCTTCAGATCTGACCCCTCTATGCCTGACCACTTAAAAAAGGCAACTGCCACTAAAGGCTCTGCTCGATTGATCTCCAACAGAACCAAAATCCTTCCTTGCTTGAACATAAGAAGCAATACATGCCGAGAGACCTGCCCCAGGCCTTGTCTCAACTGCACGCTCACAGACGGACTTAGCGTTTGCTTCCCTGCTTTATAATCATGATTTAACTTTGCTTTATGACCAAATAAAGCTGACGTTGCGGAACGACACAACTCAGTTATGTGCCTTCATAGCGTGCTCAGGACATTTGTTTTAAGTCGCCAAGCTTGTAATTTGTTACAGGAGCCCTAGGAAGCTAGTACACCAGATAATTACATTTCTAAACACTACTCCTTAGAAATATGTTCTTATTTATGTTTTGCAACGACCAAGATAAGGAAGGGGAGTTATGCCCACAAAGTCAAGAGAGTGATTAATTTGGGGGGGAAGGAGGGGAGATGTAACCTGGCTAGGACGAGGGGATGTTTCTAGGGGTACTGGCAGTATTCTGTGGCCCAGAGAGCACGACAAGGTTGTTTATGCTCTAATAATCTGTTGAGCTGCACCTGTATGTCTTATCCACTTTTATCTGTATCATTTTTAACAATCATCAGATAAAAATACTCATTAAAAAGGGGGGGGGAGGATAGGACACCTGGGTGGCTCAGTCACTTATGCATCCAACTCTTGATCTCAGCTCAGATCTTAATCCCAGGGTTGTAGGTTTAAGTCCTCTGTTGGGCTCCACACTGGGCCTGGAGCCTACTTAAAAAAAAAAAAAAAAAAAAAAAGCATGGGTGGGCGGGGGTGGGGGGTGGGGCGTGGATCATAAAGTCCTCCAAACACAGCAGTTGGCCTTAGACACATTCTAAATAGAAAGAGGAGAAGAGTTCCTCTAGGATGATTTGGCTTCATATTAGATGTAAAGAGATGCCCCCTTCCTGCCTAATACACCGGAGCAGCTCAGGCTAGGCCCTGGGCAGAGAGTAGATGAGAGGGTCCCTGGGGCTGGGGGGGTAAAAGCCCCTGCCCCCGGCCCGGCTCCCCTTGCTTCCGCGAGGGGGCGCTGCTCTCCGCTGAACTCACCCTCCTGCCACAGACCATCCCTCCTCTGCTCCCTCAGCACACAGCCTCTTTTCCAGATTTCCACCAGGGAAGACCTGTCTCCCGACGAAGGGTCCCGCAGACCTCAACACAATGCTCTTATCTGCTTCCCTGGATATCCCCGAGGAGGCCCAGTCATGGAGGCCCACGCCTTGCTCTGTGCCTGACCCTGCCTCCCAAAATAAGGCGCAGACAAGAAGCTCCTAGGGAGCCTCCTATCCAGGGTGCCTCATAGCTCCCTCTCTCCCCCTCGGGGTGGGCAGCTCCTGGGCTCCGAGGCCAGCTGGGATCCCTTCCCCCATCAGGACTCCTGAGTTCTTTCCCCATACTCCTCCAGACCAGGCCTGGCCTTCTGGGTTTCAAGGTCTCCCACCCACCCATGGGGCTGGGGCTGTGGTCTGAGCACTCCAGGGAGGCTGACGCTGGGGTGGAGCAGAACTCCACTCACCGCCCCCTCCATGTCTGTATAGCACGCACTGTTCTCACAGTCATCATCACCATTCCATTCTCAAGGCTCCCTCATAGGGTGCCCATCTAATGGATGAGAACACTGAGGCCGAGACCTTTCATGACTGTGTCTGGACCCAGAGTCTCTTTCAGTTGCTCAACAAACATATACTGAGCATCCACGCTGAGATGGGCCTGGAGCCAGACACTGACGTGCCCCCCGACCCTCTCGAAACTTATACTCCAAGGCAGAAAGGGACAAGTGGTTATAAATAGTGGTAAGTGTGAAGGAGACAAGGGATAGAAGTGAGGTGGTAAGGATGCATGGGGAGAAGAAGCACATCTCTGAGAGGGTGGTATTTATGCCAAAACCAAGGGACAACCGTGAGGTCGGGGAGAGGAGGAAAGAGTCTGCAAGAAGAGCTCAGGGGTTCATGAGTGGAGAGGAAGCTGGTGCAGCTGGAACTTGGAGAGGGAGGGAGGCTAGGTCATGCTGCGCCTTACAGGTCAGTGATTAGTCTGAAGCACAAAGGAAAGCCAAGGGAGAGGAGTAAGCAAAGAAGAAACATGCTTCAAAATTTTTTTATATTTTATTTATTCATGATAGACAGAGAGAGAGAGAGAGAGAGAGAGAGGCAGAGACACAGGCAGAGGGAGAAGCAGGCTCCATGCAGGGAGCCGGATGTGGGACTCGATCCCGGGGACTCCAGGACCACGCCCTGGACCAAAGGCAGGCGCTCAACCACTGAGCCACCCAGGGATCCCCACAAAATGGCAATTTCATATGGTTTAATCTAACCTAAACTAAAACCATGGTAAGTTGGGGTACCTGGGTGGCTCAGTGGTTGAGCGCCTGCCTTTGGTCCAGGGCGTGGTCCTGCAGTCCCCGGGATCGAGTCCCACATCCGGCTCCCTGCATGGAGCCTGCTTCTCCCTCTGCCTGTGTCTCTGCCTCTCTCTCTCTCTCTCTCTCTCTCGTGAATGGATAAAATTTTTCAAAAAAATTCTATTTTAGAAAGTTCCTCCTGGTGCTTATAAAAGAGATTATTGGGAGGCGAGAGTGGAACAACACGAAATCTAGGCTCCTGGAGCACACCCCAATTTATCAGTCACTCCAAGCAACCGGATGAGACGCAATCTCAGTAGCAGGTAAGAGATGATGGTCGTTTGAACAAGGGCCGCGGTTTTGGGGTTTGGAAAAGATACGACCGACTGACGGGCACATTTTTGCGGGGAGATATACCTTATTAAGGCCTGGGGCAGCAGGGGGTAGGCGTGGGGGATGGTGATAGAAAGGCAGGGTCAGGGGACAGGCATGGCCAGTGTTAACTGAGCACTTACCATGTGCCAGTCCCGTGCTACTTCTAAATGCTTCACCGGCTATTATACTAATTAATCCTTCTAGAAACACCGTGAACTAGATAGTATTGTCTTCCTCATCTTAGAGGTGAACTGGGGCCCCCCGGGAAGTGAAAGGGCTGCCTGCGGTGGTTTGGGTCTGACCCCAGGCAAGCTTACCCAGCTTAAGCGGTCTTAAGGAGTACCTAATAGGGGATCCTACTTCTCAAGAACCATGCCCAGGGCTGTTTGCAGGTTTTCAATTGCACGTGCTATCCTCCCCCCCCCGCCCCCATCTCTAATCCTTGGAAATAAGGAGACGGAGGCGATGCTCCCGTGCGCGTGAGAGGGGGTGCCCGCAGGGGAGCAGAGGGAACAGAGGGTCGCCTGTGTGCAGGAGCAGCCCCTCTTCCAAGCAGGACTCTGGCCGAGGCCCCAAGCGCCGGGTTGCGGCCTGGTGACCCGCCGCGGCCGCGGCCGAGCTGCCGGAGGGGGGCGCTCGCCGCTGCCGCCGGGTCGGGCCGGGGCCGCGGTGCGGGTTCGCGAGCAGGCGCGGGGGCGACCGTGCAGCAGGCGGCGCGGCGGGCGCGGGGCCCGGGGACCCGGGAGGCGTCGGATTCTCTGCTCCCCGCTGCTGGGCCGCCGCCCGGGGCTGGGCCGCCGCGAGTCCGCAGGTCGGGAGGAAGCGGGGGAAAGGCCGGGAACGCGCTGCGGGGGCGGCGGCGGCGCCGAGCTGGGGGCCGTGAGGGCGGGGCCAGTCGGAGGGCGGGGGGGGCGGGTAAAGATCGGAAGGGGGCGGTAGGGCGGAAGAGAGGCGGGTCAGCAGGAGGATGCGGGGACCGCGAGCCGGCCAGGGCGCCCAGAGGCCCGGGACGCAGCAGGCGCCGAGGGCGGAGGGCGGAGGGCGGAGGGGCCCGGAGCTGGGGGGCAGGCGGGAGGCCCCGGGCATCCAGCCCCCGACCTCGAGGAGGTGACTGCGCCCAGCAGGGGCCTGGGCTTCCCCCTCCCCCGGGGGGCAGGTCCGGCGGCGGTGGGAGGCAGCCTGGCCTTGCCCGCACTCCTGCCCGCCCCCTTCCCCTTGTCCTCCGCGGGTCCCTGAACCCTCAGGTCCGTGCAGCGGACTCTGCGGACTGCTGGACGGGCGCGACGCGGCGGCGGTGCAGAGGCCTGAACCCTTTAACCTTCTGGCTTCTCCCCCACGCCGCGCCGCCCCACCGCACCCCACTCCACCCCGCCCCCTTTACCCAGACTGAGGAGAGTCTGTATGATGGAAAGGTTTTTCCCCACATCGTGTAGCTGGTTATACTGTGGTTTCCGGGGTAAGAACCTGGGCTCACCAGCCCTAACGGTATGAACCCAGGTTCCAGGTTTATGCTTCCAAGGATTACAGAACTCTCCACCCAGGAAGCGGCCAGACTGCTTCCCCCATCCCTAGCCTGTCGGCCTGTCTGTCCATTCACCTTGTGTAGCCCTCTGAGGCTCTGCTCACCTGTCCACCTATAGGCTGTCTCTTTGCCTGAAGACTCTGCTGTTACCTGGAAATCTGTGCCAAGGGTGAGTGAGACCCTGAGGATAAAGAGCAAAGGGTGGAGATGAAGGGACAGCTGATAACTGGGAAGGGGAGGGATCTGAGAGTGATGGTGGAGAGGGGGCTGCTTCTCTGCAACCAGGACCTGTTGAAGGCTTTTGGCCAAAGTCCCTGCTAATGCCGTTCTGTGCCCTTAGAGGGACAGAGCCAGGTGGGAATGCAGCCAGCCAGGTCCCAGAAAGATGTTATCAACCTGGTCTTCCAATACTGGCAAGGTGTGCTCCAATGGCTTGTGCCTCAAGGTGAGAGCAGAAGAGCTGAAAGAGACAGGCTGGGCTGTTAGATGTAAAGGGCCAGGGGGGAGATGCCCAACCTGACATGAAAAGCATCTTCCACAAATTCCTCTGTCTGAAACTTTCTCATCATACTCACCTTTGGAGCCTCACCTGCCCAGACCCTGAGCAAGACAAGGGTGGTGGCCTCCCAGCCTTGGTGGGGAAGCTGTTTTCACTTGCCTTCTTTAGAGGGGCACAGTAGAGACGACTAGAAGTCCCTGGAAGAGGCCAGAGTCCATCTCCTTGGGACTAGCCCCGTACCCCTCCCCACCATGCTATTCAGGTGCTCAGAGCCAGGAATTCTGGGATCCCTAGTCAGACCCTCTCCCTCCCCCACACACATATTCCAGATTCTGAACTGGGGCAAATAGAAGGGTATACAAATAGAAGCATGACGGATGGGGGTGGAGAATGGGAGGGGACTCCTTGGGGGAAAAGCATCCAACCCTCCTTGAAAGCAGGGTTTCATGGTTGCAGGGTCCAGAGGGGAGATCTGCTTGGAGTTCAAATTACTGCTACTAATGATCATCATGTCTAATGTGCAAGTAATGCCTCAGAGTTCTAAAAACACTGTGTACGTCCTCAACTTCATTTGGTTCTCATAATAGCACCATTGTTAAATTCACATTTGACCACTTACTGCAACGCGAAGCACTATGCTAAGAGACTTACCTGGATTATCTCCTGTAATTCTCCCAACAATGGTTCATCATTTCATGGATGAGAAGACTGAAGCTCGGCCAATTTAATTAAGTTTCCCAGGGTCACAGAACTCGTAAGAGCAGGGATTCCAATGCTGAGGAGGGCAGAGGGCAAACTCCTGTACCCCAGCCAGTCTCTGGATCCCTCCAATGCCCGGTGCCTTATGCACTTTGGGGAAAGCAAAAATTCTAATATCACACTCTGGTTTCCAGGGTGGGCCAATCCAATTGTCACAAGTGACCTTACGCTCCTCCCTCTCTCCCTGCAGGACTGTTCTGGAAGGATGATGTCACTCAAGATATGAAGACCCAGAAGATAGAGCACATGCCCAGGCTCCATGCCTCAGAGACCAGCATGATGGATGAGCCTTTTCCACCAAAACCACCACGCCCAGGTGTGTGAGGCCTGTGATCTGTCCACACTGCCCATGACCGGTAGACAGAACAATTGGGAAGGGAAGGAGTGTCAGGGCAGCAGGAAGGAGCTGTCTGAAGTCCAGTAAATAGAATGAAGAGAGCACCTGTCTGATTCCAACCAGAAGCAATCCCATGATACCTTGGTGATGTCTGCAGAGGGAGGGGATTGGGATGCTTGGCTACTAATTGATATCCCTGGCTTAATCTTTGTCTTCTAGGGACAAGTGCAAAGAGGAACTCTGACTGTTGTTCCCTAAGGTGAGACTCCCTCAGGGATTTTGAAATTCCTCATTTGGATCCCATCTCTTCTCCTCTGGGACTTCTCACCATTTTCTCTTCACCTTTGACACCTTTGACTCCAGAGGTCCCGAACCAAGAGATGACCAACCATGGCAAGGCCCCACTGCAGGTGAGGACCTGGCTTGTCCAGGAAGGCTGAGCCCACCCAGGGCCTGTTTATAGAGGGACACAGGGTGAAGGAGGGAATACACATTGGTTGATAAATAAATGACAAGACTTCACTGAGGCTGATGGAGAACCTTCTGGAAGAGAGGGCCTGGAGGATGGAAGAGAACAGAGCTTTCAATTCAGAGCCAGCCCAATCCTGGCTCTGCCACTGCCCAGCTGTGCCCTTGGACACATTGCCTAGGCTCTTCAAGTCCCTTCTTCCACACCTGTGAAATGGGAATGGTAATAAAGGCGACCCCTCTGGTGTTGCTGTGTGGCTTCAAGACAATATATGAAAAAGGCCAGTGGTTGCTGGGTAAGGGGAAATTCTTCCTTTCCTCACTGGGGAGGGAGGGCGCCCCTACTTCCTCTCTCACAGACAGCTTTTCATATATTTCAGCAACTGCAGGGTGCAGGGGCTAGGGGCCTCCAGGAGCCTCTGGCTCTGTAAGATCAAGCACAGGCCCAGAGCTTGAAGGGACTGCGGAAATCTACTTGGGAGGCTTCACAACTTAAATATGAACTCTGTTTTTCTAAGGAAATCTTGAGTGTGACATGACGCTAATCCTTACCTTGCCCCTCCACCCATCCATATCTATATGTTTCTCTTTCTCTATGCACACGGACACATACATACACACATATCTAGCTCTCTCTATAGCTCTAAAGCTACTATCCTTAAATGGGGGAGGAGTTTATGGAAGCCCTTGAATTCAGCCTCCCCCTTGCTCTTCTCTGTGGTGTGGAGGGCAAGTCACCTGGGGAAAGCTCTCGGGCATCCCCTTGGGCACTTGAGCTCTTGGGAGCCCGGGGCGAAGGCTACTCACCTTTTAGGTATCATCCGTCTTTAGAGCTGAGAAGCTGAGTGGGCAGGCAGGGAGCAGGGCCAGACCTGGTTTCCTGACCCAGCTTGCCCCCACCCAGCCCCACCCTTCCTCTCCAGGGCCCCAGGAGAGGTTGGGCTGCTTCACACATCAGACTTCTCCACACTAATGATAGCCGGAGGAGGTGAAACTTGAACTTTGACCTAAATGATACCAGGAAGCAGCCCTGGAAAGATCTGAAGGAAGAATCCCCAAGGCAGACAGAAGTACAGATGCAGTGGCACTAAGGAGGGCACGGGATGGGAGGAGCACTGGATATTATACTATATGTTGGCAAATTGAATTTAAATTTAAAAAATTTTAAAGATTTTATTTATTTATTCATGAGACACACACACACACAGAGGCAGAGACACAGGCAGAGGGAGAAGCAGACCCCATGCAGGGAGCCTGATGTGGGACTCAATCCTGGGTCACAGCCTGGGCTGCAGGCAGCGCTAAACCGCTGAGCCACCTGGGCTGCCCTAAATAAAAATTTTTTAAAAAAAATTACCCTTAGGTGAGATTGCAGGGCCAACACGGTTGGTGACAGGGGAACAGCCAGGACTACTCAGGGCTCATAGTCTGTAAGACAGGATTTGGGTTTTATTCAAAGTCGGAATGATCAGCAAAGGAAAGGCAATTTGAGAGTGTTGTACTATATGTTGGCAAATCGAACTCCAATAAAAAAATACACAAAAGAAAGGCAATCTGATACATATTTTATAAAGATATAGCGATGCTATAGGAAAATGGACCATAAAATGGACGAGAGCAGGACCAAGTAGGACAGTGTTCAGGGCTTCCAAGTTACCCAGGTGGGACCTGGTGGTCCCCTGGATCAAGACCAAGACAGTGTTGCTGGGAGGCTCTCAGCTGGACTCCATCCAGAGGCAGCCTGCTCCTCAGAGGTGCTCCAGCCTTTTACTCCTTTCAAAGAAACTGGTCGTCATCTCTGTCACCATGGCAGCCAGGCCTCCTTAGCTTGGATTGGTTGCTGGACCACATCACTGGTCCTATGACTGACCCCATGATGGGGACTGGTTGCCATGGTTCTATCAAGTGTGCAAACAAGGAGCTACCATCCTCCTTCAGGCTCAGGGGACCGGCCAACCAGCCCTGTGTCTAATGGAAAATCCCTGGAAGGAGAGAAGATTAGAGATGGGGACCAGGGAAAGACCTATAGTCTGACAGCGCCTGAGCCCCTTGTCTCAGAACTTATTCACATCAAGATTGCTATGGGAGACTTGTTCTGAATTGGGTGGGGGTGGGGGTAGGGGAGTGAGGAAAGGAGTCACAACCCCTGCTTCGAAGCATTCATTGAAAATTCCTTATTTCTTTCCCTTGTAGAGTATCTTTGAGCCATTCCCTAGTCTGAGTCACAAGTCACAACCTCGCAGCTGATTGAGTCCTCAGGGGAAGCCTCTCATCTCCCACACCTTCTTGATGCTCTCAAGAAGGACCATTTCAGGATGACCCAAATTTGGATCATTAAAGCTGATTTTCAAGCAAAATCTTTCTACAGACTTGTCTGGAGGCAGGACAGGTGGGGTTTGGACCTGACTGGAATGTTTGAGGTGAGAGAGGTGGGATGGGAACACAGGGAAGGTTGAGTATGGGATTCAGAGAGCACAGCCCTAGTTGTGCCCAACACCTGGGTTCTGACCACTTCCTCCCTTCACAAATCATTTTTTTTAAAGATTTTATTTACTTACTAATGAGAGAGAGACAGAGAGACAGAGAGACAGAGATAAGCAGGCTCCATGCAGGGATCCCGATGCAGGACTTGATCCCAGGTCTCCAGGATCAGGCCCTGGGCTGAAGGCAGCACTAAACTGCTGAGCCACCCGGGCTGCCCTCACAAATCATTCCTAAGGCAGATGAAGGCAAGACGGAATGACAGCTGGAGGGGCCGCCATCCCCACCCACGGGCTTCAAATGGTCTTCTTGGTCTCTCTTCCAACTGTGGAAGGAAAGTCTTCCCTCCAGACCTCGGGTCTGGCAGGCCTGGGACCTCATTCTGCCCTTGAAGTTCACAGTACCCTCTAAACATTAGGGTCCCCTACAGAGCAGTCATGCCAGCCCCAAACCCAAGAACCCCGCAGAGAATAATTCTGTGACTGAAGGCTTTGCACATTTCACATTCTGATACCTGTGGTCACCTTGCCCCTGGGAGAGGGGAACCAGCCACCATTGTTCAACCCAACCCAACTCCAGACATCCCATGCCTCAAGCTTTATATTTCTCAAAGCACTTAGCTCATTTGATCCTCACAAGTGAGAACACGTGGGAAAGTACCAAGCCTACTGTCTGTTCAGGCTGCTGTAACAAAATACTATAAACTGGGTGGCTTATAAACAACAGAAATTTATTTCTCACAGTTCTAGAGGTTAGGAAGCCATTATGAGTCTCTGGCAGAAGTAGTGCCTGGTGAGGACCTGCTTTCTAGTTCATAGATATTTGTCTTTCCACTGTGTCCTCACATGGAGGAAGAAGCAACAGATCCCCCTGGGATCTTTTTTCATAAGGGCACTAATCCCATTCATGAGGAGCCCACCCTTCTGACCTAATCACCTTACAAAGGCTCCACTTGCAAATACTATCTTATCACCTTGAGGGTTAGGATTTCAACATATGAATTGGGGGGGGGGGATACAAATATTCAGATCATAGCACCTACTTACTTACAGAACCCAGAGAAATTAAGAGACTCTCCTCTGGTAATACAGGCCTGATCATGCTGCCAGTGCATGTCCTAAACCCTGTATCTGTGCGTCTAAGGACACAGCTAAATACAATGCTCAACTTGTCATATTTATCTCTACCTTGTTTTTATTAGTTCAGTTGACTCCTACCACCTACTCTACTTTTCTCCATCATCCATTCACTGTGTCTGGTCACCACAATACATAGGTCTTGCCTCCTCGAGGCAATTGAGGCCTAGTCAGGGAAGTAAATTATACGTATAACATAGTCATGTGATAGATGTTTATTGAACATCTGTATAACAGACCATGTCAATTCCCTGCTTCATATCCCCTGGCCCATCTCTGAGTTCATCTGTAGCTGCAGGTAGACCGTGTCTGTACATGCTGACAGCTTCCCGTCTCAAGCTGGGACTACGCTTCTTGTTGAGTGGGTTTTCTGGAATGCCAAGGGGTCTTGCCTACCTGTGCTCAAGACAGCTTTGAGGTGTCTGGGACTTACCCCCAGAGGCAGCTCTCAACCAGTTAAGGACTGAGTTTAGTGGATAAATATTCCAACAGATCCGTCCCTGGGGAGGGGGGGTAAATCTGAGACAAGTTCTACACAGATCCTCAGGGGTCCCCAGCAGAGTTCATTCCCAGTTGCCCATTGTGATGGTTAATTTTATGTGTTAGTGTGACTCGGTGAAGCGATGCCCAGATAGATGGTAAAACATTATATCTAAATATGTCTGTGCAGATGTCTCTGGAAGAGATCCGCATTTGAATTAGTAGATTGAGTAAAGAAGATGCCTTCACTAATGCGAGTGTGCATCATCCAGTCCACCAAGGTCCCAAACAGAGAAAAAAAAGAAAAGAAAAGAAAAGAAAAGAAAAGAAAAGAAAAAAGAAAAGAAAGAAAAAAGAAAAAAGGTGGAGGGAGGGTGAATCTATTCTCTGCTTGAACTGAGACATCCATCTTCTCCTGTCCCTGGACATCAGTGCTTCCAATTTTTGGGCCTTTGGACTCGGATTGGAACTTATATCACCAGGTTCTCAGGTCTTGGGATGCAGCTTTCCTGGTTCTCTGCTTGCAGATGGCAAACCATGGGATTTCTCAGCCTCCATCATTGGATGCATCCTTTACTTCCTCGTTTGGGATCATTAAAACACTTTTCAGCATTTGATTTTAATGTACCAGTTGTGTTTTTTACTATCTTCCTATACTTTTTAAGTGGTTGCTCTAGGCATCTGAGTGTACACATTTAACTTTCCACAGTCGTCTTATAATTATTGTTTTATGGGCCACCTGGCCAGCTCAGTCAATAGAACACATGACTCTTGATCTCAGGGTTGTGAGTTCGAGCCCCGTGTTGGGGTAGAGATTACTTAAAAATAAAAACATAATAATCGCTGTTTTACCATTTTAAGTGGGATGCAGAAGTCTTACCAGCATATGTTCCTTCCTTCTTCCCCATTTATGTTATAGCTGCCGATTAGAATCAATCACATCTACATACATTGGAAACTAACAGGCAATGTTATAATTTTTGCTTTGAAGCATCAAATGGATTTTAAGTAATTAAAAATGGGGAGGAATAGCCTATAATATTTTCTCAGATAGTTCCCATTTCTATTATTTTCTGCGTTCTTGACGTTCTGGGTTTCCTTCTTATATCATTTCCCTTTTATCTAAAGAGCTTCCTTAGCAAGTCTTTTAGAGCAGGTCTGTGGGCCACAAGTTAATTTTTCCTCCAACTTTGTTTTACCTTTGTTCCTGAAGTATATTTTGCTGGATATAGAATGCTGGGCTGACAGCTCTTTTCTTCCACTGCTTTATTTTTTTTTAATATTTTTTTTTTATTTATTCATGAGAGACACAGAGAGAGAGGCAGAGACATAGGCAGAGGGGGAAGCAGGCTTCTTGCAGGGAGCCCGATGCAGGACTGGATCCCAGGACCTCGGGATCACGACCTGAGCTAAAGGCAGACACTCAACCACTGAGCCACCAGGTGCTCCCTGCCCCCTTTTAAAAGATTTCTCTTTCACTGCTTTAAAAATATTATTCCATTCCCTTCTGCCCCCGGTGGTTCATGATGAAAAATCCACAGTCATTTGGATTATTGTTCTCCTGTGATATATTTATTGTTTTTCTCTGGCTATTTTCAAGATTTTGTTCTTGTTTTTAGTTTTTAGAACTTTGTTTAGGATGCATCAGGGCATGGATTTCTCAAGTTTCTCCTGTTTGTGTAACCAAAGTCAAGTTCATCTGTTTGACACAAGGCAAATGCCAATCACTGAGATGCTGAGTATGCAGCAAGGAGAGGGTTGACTCAAGAAGCAGAGAAGTGAGGAGAGGGAAGAGCAAGCCTCAAATTTGCCTCCCCAAAATTCTGGAGAGTCCAGAGTTTTTAAAGGCAAGCAGAAAGGGTCTGGGTAAAGGAAAGAGAAGCTTCATGACCCCAAAGGAAGTTAGAGGGTATCATGTGAAACAAAATAAGTCAGAGAAAGACAAATACCATGACTTCACTCATATGTGGGATTTAAGAAACAAAACAAATGAACATATGGGGTGGGGGGAGAGAAGCAAACCAGAAAACAGGCTCTTAACTATAGAAACAAACTGAGGGCTGCAGGGGCCGTGGTGGGAGGATGGGCTAACTGGATGATGGGCATTAAGGAGGGCACTTGCGATGAGTACTAGGTGGTGTATGTTAAGTGCTATATCACTAACTTCTACACCTGAAACTAATGTTACACTGTACACTAACTAATGATTTTAAATTAAAACTTGGAAAAAGACAAAGGAAATTACTAAGTAGGAGACAGTTAATTTCATTTTGCTCTTTCACTTCAAAGAGGTGGCCATTGGTCCTGACTGGTTCTGGCCAGCTTCTTACTGTAACCTTGAGTCTCTGCAAAACTAAATCAACAGTTGGTGATCATATTGTCAGGCAAGAATATGATCTTATAGAAACATGGTGGCAGACAGCATTCCCAGAACAATCAGATTTGGGTTAAAAATTGAAGCTCTGGGGTATCCTGGGTGGCTCAACGGTTTAGCGCTGCCTTCAGCCCAGGGTATGATCCTGGAGACCCGGGATCGAATCCCACATCAGGTTCCCTGCATGGAACCAGCTTCTCCCTCTGCCTGTGTCTCTGCCTCTCTCTCTCTCTCTCTCTCTCTCTGTGTGTGTGTGTGTGTCTGTGTCTCTGTGAAAAAATCAATAAAATCTTAAAAAAAAAAACTGCAGCTCTGTTTACCTGCCCCATTAGCCCTTTGGTTCCTGGTTTCTTTTTTTTAGATTTTTAAAATTTATTTATGAGAGACACAGAGAGAAGCAGAGATCCCCGGGACTCCAGGATCAAGACAGTCACTCAACCATTGAGCCACCCAGGGGTCCCTTTTTTAATTTTTATTTTTTTATTTTTGGTTCCTGGTTTCATTTGGAGTTCACTGAACTTATTGTGGCTTTTGACAATTTGGGAAATTTTCAGCCATTATTTCTTCAAATATTTTTAATGTACTACCCCTTTTCTCCTCTTCTTCTGGGATTCCAGTGACATGCATGTTAGATGTTTAGTATTGTCCCACAGGTCCCCGAGACTGTTTACTTTTTTCCTCTCTGTTGTTCTGATTGGATCACTTCTATTATTCCATCTTCAAGTTAACTAATACTTTTTTTCTGTATTCCTATTCTGTTATTGAGCTCATCCAATATTTACTTTTGGTTTTTATTTTGTTTATTGTATTTTTGGTTCTAAAATAGCACATTGAATGAATGAATGAATGAATGAATGAATGAATGAATAAAATAGCACATTAGAGGAACAAACAGAACAGCCAGTGGTAGGAAATGCAGTTACAAAAGTAGGCCCCCCAAAAAACAAAACAAAACAAAACAAAAACAAAAGTAGGCTCAGAACTGACCATTTGGAGCCTTGCAGTTAGTAGTAAAGAGTCTAGATCTTATACAAAGGGCAGAAGAAAATCACTAGGGATTATAAGGAAATGGATAGAATGATGTAATGTACAACTTTAAAAGACCACCCTAGCACTGCTGGATAATGTATTGACAGAGGGCCAGAGTGGAACAGACAGGCCTGTTGGGAAGTATTGTTTTGGTCTAGGGAACACTGTGATAGCTTGAACTGGACAATTGCATAGAACTGAGTACCTCCAGCTGGCCATGCACTTTACCCAGAGACAGCCTGAACCTCAGGGGGAATCCAGACCCTCATGCTCTCCAAGGAAACAGTTTCTGCCTCCTGTCACCATGGTAACTGCACTTCATCTGCCCAGATTGGTCGCTCTGGTGACATCAGCTGCACTAAGTGACTGATCCCCACAATGAGAACTGGTTGTCATGGTGCTAAAGTATGTATAAAAGAATCAGCCACTCTTCTCCAAGTCAGGGTCCTTGACTAGCTCTAAAATTATGGAGAAATCAAGGAGGGAAGAGAAGATCAGATACCAGACCCAAGGGGATGCCAGCGGTCAGGCATTTGCTAAGTCACTATGCCTCAGAACTTGCCCAAATCAGGACTGCTATTAGAGTCTATTACTTATTGGAGGAGAGGTGGTTTATGTTATAGATGGGGAATCCTCTAGCACATATACCTACAAATTCCAAATCCCATGTTTCTTTACACATTAGAGTTTGTTTTGTTTTTTTAAAAAAGATTTTATTTATTCATTCATGAGAGACACAGAGAGACAGAAACACAGGCAGAGGGGGATGTAGGGGGAGAAGTAGTGGGAGAAGCAGAAAGAAGTATCTGAAATGGAATGCAGGGAGCCCAATGCAGGACTCAATCCCAGCACCCCAGGATTGCACCCTGAGCCGAAGGCAGATGTTCAACCACTGAGCCACCCAGGTGTCCCACACATTAGAGCTTTTTAAACTGTTTCCTTCTCTGAGCAAAATTTTGTAGCTGATTGAGGCATCCCTATTCCCCACACCCTGCATTGCTGTCTAGAGGGGCGGTTCTAGAAAAACCTGTTTCTGGATTTTTAAAGTGTGTTTTTGTCAAAACTCTTCCTGTGGGCAGGACAAGTGGGCTCCATCCAGATCCTCTGGAATAAAATACGTAGGGCCAGAACAGAGAAGACACTTGGGGTGGTGATGGTGCAGATAGAAGCCTGGTTTATTATCCCTTTCTCCTTTCAGACATCTCATAAAATGAATGCAAGGCAGGGTAGGACCACAACTGAATTGCAATCCTTCCTCACCCACTCCCTGCCCCTCACTACACTTTCTGGTGGTCTTTTTCCCTTGGGAAAGGAACTTCCTCCTTTTTTAAAAAAAATATTTATTTATGATAGACAGAGAGAGAGAGAGGCAGAGACACAGGCAGAGGGAGAAGCAGGCTCCATGCCGGGAGCCCGACACAGGACTCGATCCCGAGACTCCAGGATCGCACCCTGGGCCAAAGGCAGGCCCCACACCGCTGAGCCACCCAGGGATCCCCGGAACTTCCTCCTTTTGAACTCCAGGTCCAATAGGCCTGAGAACCTGCTTGGTCTTCTGAGGTTATTACTCTCAGCATAGAGATGCCCTCCAATGAATATCAAAAAGAAGTGCAGGGTCAATACATACATACGTTTTTATTTTGCTATTTCCCTGGCAGTTTGAAATCTTAGGAGGGAGAGAGAACTACTTCCACCTCTGCTCAACCACCCAAAAGCTAGTGCATTCCTCTTTCCTATAGCATTAGACTTCTCAAAGCAGTTTCAGACTCATTTGCTCTTAGGCCTCAAATTACCTCTAAATAATTTTCAAATGTGTAAAACACAAACCAATGATAATTAGATAAACCTCCAGGTTTTGGTGTGACAAATGAGCTTGTTTTAGTCTCCTTTTAACATTGAATATATACATTTATATATATATATATATATATATATATATATATATATATATACACACACACACACACACACACACACATTGAATATATACACATTGAATATATATACATTGAATATATATATACATATATAATAAAAATAGCTGAAAGCATGGAGACCAACCAAAAGCAAGAAAAACAAGAAGGAATATAATCCTTGGAAAAAAAAAAAAGGAAGTCCACAGGTATTGGTAAACACTTTGGGTTTTTCATTGAAATCCCAAAAGGACCAAACCCTAGGTATAAGTACAATGTCCCAGGACTGACA